TAGGATCTTTTCCCTGGTCCAGCGTATCCCTCTCTTCTTGCTCCTCACTGTTTTGGTGAATGATCCAGTTCACTACGATCAGGAAGATCATGGGTGATAGTAGGTGGCAGCCTTATGTTACTCCTGTCTTCACTTCAAGGGCATCACTGGGCTTCGCATTGTGAATCACTCGGCGTGTCGCGTATTCATATAGTTGTTGAATGAGGTTGACAAAGATTTGTGGTACTCCGTGGTGTTGAAGCAACTGCCAAATTACTTCTCAGTCGACGCTGTCGCAGGCCTTTTCAAAGTCGATGAAGTTGAGGTTCAGTTGAGTTGACTGCCATTCTACACTCTGTCCTATGATGATGCATAGCGTAGCGTTGCAATTTGATCCGCACATGATTTGTACCTACTATCACCCATGATCTTCCTGATCGTAGTGAACTGGATCATTCACCAAAACAGTGAGGAGCAAGAAGAGAGGGATACGCTGGACCAGGGAAAAGATCCTAGAAGATTTGGATTTCGCCGATGAATTTTGTTCAATATCACACAAACTTGAAGACCCACAGGCGAAAACCAACAAGTTGACAGAAGAGGCAGGGCAGGAAAGACGGAACTTCAGGTGAACGTAGAGAAGATAGAGTGGTGATGAAGATACCCAACCAACAACGACAACAACAACAAGTACCAGTCACCATCAACGGGAGAAATCTAGAGGAAGTAGTCTCTTTCATCTACCCAGGCAAGGCAGCATGTTTTCAAGTACAGGTGTCAGGGGCACAGGCACAGATGAGGATGTTAAAGCAGCCAGGATGGGAAAGACAGCAAGACAGGCTTTCCTGCATTAATCTGAAATCAGTGTGGAGATCTACTGCACTGCACTGCACTCAGCATAAAGAACAAGATCCGGATTTTCAACGCTAATGTAAAGTCAGTGCTCCTATATGGTTCAGAGACTTGGCGCATCATGAAAAGCATTTCCAACAAACTACAGACAGTCATCAACAACTGCCACTTGCGCTGGCTCGATACTGAAGATCAGACGGATTGCCAGAAAGAATCAGCAACAAGAAACTTTGGCTGTCAACGAACCAACCAGGAACCTATCGACCAACAAATATGCAGAAGGAAGTGGAGATGGATTGAGCACGCACTGAGAAGACCAACTGGAGACACCACATACCAGGCCCTTGAGTGGAACTCAGATGGGAAACGACGATTTGGGTGTCCGATACGAGGGTGACATGGAGGAGGTTGTGTGAGGAGGAAATGAAAGCTTGTGGGGAGTGGTGGAGCCAGGTTTTGAAGACTGCAGAGAAGAGAGTGCAGTGGAGACATACTACTGGAGCTCTATGTTCCACTAGGAACCCATGGGAAATAATAATGATATATATTCAGCTTAAAATGATTATTTTTTTCTGGGTTATACTTTGCTTTCTATATACTTACTGAGTGGTTAAACTTCACATTTGCGTCGATAATGTTTGTCCAACGGGCATTATTTTGAAGTTGCCATTATAAAGCTGCACATACTGGTAAATATTTTGCTCTATTTACATGTCTAGCATGCTGAGTAGTTATACTGTATTTATATACGCAGTATTCACTGCAAATTTATTATACACATAATTTTATCATTTTAGAATATTTCTTCTTTTTTTAGAAATAAATCTTTCTGAATAGGGATAAATAGTCTTGGATAGATCTTGTTTTCTGTATCAACTTTTTTCGAAATAATAATATTCTGATATCTATAGTCGTGTTAACTTAATATCTCAATAATGCATTTAAAGTTAATATAAAAAGAATTTCTCTGCATGTTTACTCACATATAACATTATTGTAAGTTGAAATTAAAGCGAAAATCTGTTGAATTTCTTACTACCTTTAAGGAGGATGTTTAGTAAGTCAGTTAATTTTTGTTTATAACATTGACATTGTTCGGAATTCAACTGAAATTTCACTAAAGTAAACAGTAAGGTCATTTGAATTAATAACACACTTTTGTGGTTTGTAGGGATTTATTTATTGATTTCAGGTTGGCATTCATCATGGACTAATATCAATTGGAGAAACATTGGAAATTTAGGAGCACTGGACAGCTGTTTCATCCCAGTATGGGACTCCTCAGCAGTGCGCACTCATGACTCCTCTATGCCAGAAATCGAACCAAGGATCTCCAGGTTCCGTGGCTACCACGGTTGGGTTGGAATCCAGTGGTCCAGATTTCCTACTTTTATCAGTTCACTATATAGCGTGATGTCTATCCAGTGTTGTTGCTGAGTAACCGTTCTCATGTTCAACTTGTATGGACCCACCGATCACTACTTGTCACTAGAACTTCGGGAATCACCTCTCGAATCTAGTCATCAATGAGCACCAGGTGTCCAATGTTCATGATGAACACCAACCTGAAATCGATAAAATGATTAAAACAAATAGGAAAAGTATGCTTAGTAAGATTTTCACTATGGTTGAATTACACATTTTATCATACGTTATTACTCTTGATAAAGGTAATCTAATTTATCTTGACCTTTCGCAAGTAAGAGGGTAAATTTCAAGTGAATTTTACAGCTTACTTAATGAGAACGAAATGAGTAAGTCCTGCCATCATTTGTAGACAAAAATAAAAATGTAGTTCACCTTTTATGATACTTGTAATTTGCCGTTGCTATGCAAGGCCGAAATACTCCACCTCTGTTGACAGGTCGGCTTTTATGTGGATGCCTCGGTACCGGTGAGTACTCATGATGTTATACTGATCTTGGTGACTAGCAAAGGAATCTAAGGCTGGGGTTTCATCTTATTTGGGACTCAACAGCTGGATATAACTGCATCTCAGTGATTGACGTTTTTCCCATTGAGATCCAAGCACAGTACCCTTCACTTCAAACTTCAGAGATACTGGGGCTCGATAGCCACCTCTTGTGTAACGGGTATCAGTTGTTGCAATGATACTTGTAATTTCCTATTGTTATTGTGGGTTGTATTGCTTGACCGCTGTTGGCAGATGGGCTCCTATGGGGTGGTTATTGTGCCCCGGTGGCCTAATGGATAATGCTCTAGCGTTTGAAGCAATGGGTACTGGGTTCGAGCAACGGTGGGGATAATATAACTTACTGGGGTGCAGGTACATTCAGCTGTTGGTTTCCAAATGGGACGAAGCGAGCGTTTTGGATTCCTCTGCTAGTCACTAAGATCAATATAACGTCGTGATTTACTTTTATCCAGCTTTCCAAAGTTATGTATCTTCTTTCCAAGCCAAAAAGCGGGTGTATTTAAAGAGACCATTTCCTTGGAAGTATCCTGCACCTTCCCTGAGTCAGTAATATCTCAAAACACTGCGGATACACCTTTATCAGGCAGTAAGAAGATCAGAAATAATAATTAACAACAGATAGAGGGGTGCGTCAGCACAATCAAAGCTCATAGGTAGGAAATCAATTATTTAGTGCTAAGACAAAGAAGGAAATATACAGTCACGGGTTTGTAAATAAGAACATCTGTGATAGTTTGTTTTCACTAACCAGCGCTGCATTTTACTTTCATCCAAATCCCTAATTATTTTTCTGAAAGTTATTTTATTGAATTAAGTCTTTTGATACGTTAATTAGGGGGTTCATAAGATCAATATTGTGGGGTGACATAACTTTGTATTTCCTCTAATACTTCATCAAAACCTACATTCTTTACAAGAACTGATTATTAGAGTTCAGTTTCTAGCTAAATTGTGGGTGCCTACTGATGAGGAGTAACTATGCTAGGACGAAATACCTGTCCATAGCTCCAATGGATATCAGTCCGTGTTGAAAGCTACCTTGAAAATAAAGTCCTCATTAAGCTCAAAAGATATTAGATAATTGCTTTTATTTTGAGACCAAAGCGGACACTAACAATCATTCGTTGTCTCATATAACTAGAAATTTTACCCAAGTAAAGCATCGAGCTGGGAACCCAGTGGTAGCTGGTTCGAACCCTAACCCGGTCCAAAATAGTATTTCACGTTCAATCATCACCCAGGATAAATACTAGTCTGCCAAACTACGGCTATCTCAGATAGTCAAATGATAATCAATATGATGCTCCCCCTCTTAAATTCAGTTACACTTGGATTTGGTTGAGAAATCCTAACTAAACAGACAGTATGAGTACGATCAAGTAGTAGTAACGCAACACGAATTCACATGGTAGTCGGACAAAACTCTTGGTGATTGAAATGAAATAAAAATTTGGTCAGCAATCAGATCTCGAAGCTCAGTTGGTAGAGCATCGGGCCAGAAACCCAGTGATCGCTGGTTCGAATGCAGCCGTGGTACGAATTTTCACTTCCAATCATCACCAAGTACATATAAATCATTCTAAACCATGTCTACTATCAGTCGACTATCAACATTTTAGGTATTGATATCATCTTGGAATATTTATCCTCTGAGTGCTTTATTCAAGGAACAAACAGAATCAAAATATCTGAGCAAATCTAAATTTCTACGCTCAGTTTTTGCATTTCTTAAAAAAATTTATACAACGAATATACATGAAATTGAGGCAGTTTGTTTAAGAACTGTCTGGGTTGTGTTTTTCTAAAACCTATTGGATTTGAAATGCATTTACAATCAGACTTTGTACGCCAATAGAAGTTAGGAGGGATTGTAGGGGCTGTTTAAAGCAATGAACTGAATGGAATGTGAAACAACAGTATGACAGATGTGATTAAGTGATAAAGATATATGAAATTCGGAAACATTCAGTTCAGGTAACAATTACTGTAAGAAATTATATGTATGCATGTCTATGAAAAAGTATCTGCAGCCACTACATGTAGCCGTGAAATACCAGTGCTTATATATAGGCTATTTTGTTTACTTTGTTTATCAGTGTAGAGACACAGTAATTCGGCTGAGTTGATTAAAACTTCTGTTTCATACTACAGAGTAACGAAAGATATATGCAGCAGAAAGCTTAATTCTACTTTTTGGTTGAACTAGTTATTAATTATATTTCTATTACCTTAGATTATGCGAAATAATAAACAAGAAGATATGCTATTAGACTCAACTGGATCATTGGCTGCATCATTGATATTTTCAGATCAATTCCTGCAAATATCATTCCGGATAAATGCTCAAACGGGTTTTGGTCCCGGAGAATTGGAGCAAAAGTATCCTAATCCTTTAAATATGTGGATAAGAGCAGGCCTTTGGGGACATGATGGGGAACCACAGTCGAATGCAAATCTTTATGGAACACACAATTTCTTCATGGGTCTAAAGCATGATGGAACTGCATTCGGTATCTTCTTTCTGAACAGTAATGCACAAGAGGTGGCAATAACACCTCTACCAGCTATAACATATCGCACAATCGGTGGTATATTAGACTTCTTCATATTCACTGGACCGAAACCACTGGATGTACTGAATCAGTATTATGCTCTTGTCGGACATCCACCGATCCCTCCATATTGGTCATTGGGATTTCATCTTTGTAGATATGGTATGAAGAATCTGGATGAGGTGAAGACAGTGCTAAAACGAAACCTAGACGCTGGAATCCCAATAGACGCCCAGTGGTTTGACATTGATTACATGGATGCATACAAAATCTGGTCAGTTGATGAGGGAAGATTTGGTGGGATGGGAGATTTTGTGAGGGATGTGTTGCACAAGGAGCATGGCATGAGGGCTGTGATAATTGTAGATCCAGCAGTCAGCACGAAAGGTGGCAGGGATTACCTTCCATACAAGGAGGGCATGAGGCTAGGCATCTTCATCAACGATAGTCGAACTGGGAAGCCGATTCTTGGCACTGTTTGGCCGGGTGAGACAGTGTTTCCAGACTTCACTCATCCCGCTGCTGTAGATTGGTGGCACAAGTCTGCAGCTGATTTTCATGAAGTGGTCAACTTTGATGGTTTGTGGATAGATATGAATGAGCCTGCTAATTTCAACGGTGGGTCACTCACTGGTTGTCCCTTATGGAATAAACTGGACAATCCTCCGTATGTCCCTCGAATCCTGCAAAACTCTTTATATGACAAAACAATATGCCCATCAGCTTTACACTACAACACAACTCACTACAATCTGCATAACATGTATGGTTATGATGAAGCACGAGTAACGCACAATGTGTTGACGCAGTTATTTCCTGACAAACGACCTTTCATTCTGACTCGTTCAAGTTTCGCCGGATCCGGACTGTATGCAGCTCACTGGACAGGAGATGTGGTGTCTACTTGGGATAGTTTGAAGGCATCTGTCCCACAAATAATCAATTTCAACATGTTTGCTATCCCAATGGTTGGTGCCGATATATGTGGATTTGTGGGGAACACTACTGAGGAATTATGCGTTCGATGGAGCCAGCTAGGTGCCTTCTATCCGTTTTCTCGAAACCATAATGAAGATGATGCGAAAAATCAGGATCCAGCCTACTGGAGTGAAGAAGCAACGAAGGCGATAAAGCAAGCCTTACAATTAAGATATTACATACTTCCCTACATATATACTCTGTTCTACCGATCATACTTGAACGGAACAACTGTGGCGCGTGCACTAGCCTTTGAATTCCCTGAAGACTTAGCTACACATAAAATCAATGCACAATTCATGCTGGGGTCATGTATCCTAGTCACTCCAGTGCTTGATGAAGGACGTACCGGTGTGGAGGGCTATGTTCCACAAGGAGAATGGATCAATCTGTCAACTGGCAAACGGTATGTCAGTAGAGGTGACTGGGTCTATTTTGAAGCTCCATTGAATGTTATTCCGATTTCAGTTCGATGTGGTTGTATCATTCCCATCCAAATAGCAGCTCAAGCAACAGATATTGCTCGGAAAAAAGGCTTGGTTTACTGGTGTTTTTGTCTTCAGTCGATGATGGCAGTAATGGTGCTGGTAGAAGAATCACAGCATCCGGTGAATTATTTTGGGATAATGGAGATGATGCTAAATTGAACTATGTGCATGTGAGTTTTGAAGTGTATAACCGCATATTGTCAGTGATACCGACATTTTCAAGTCCTGAAAGCTTACAGAAGATTGATTTGATGGAACTTGATTTGAAAATGATTTTAATTGCTGGTTTAAGTAAGAAACCAAAAAGTATTTTTATAAATGATAAATCAGTAAACTTCACTTATATTGAGGACTTGCAAAGTGTTCATTTAGCTAACAAAATACTTACAACATTAAAGGACAATTTCAAAGTGAAATGGAATTTTTAACTTCATATTTCTTCATTTATTTCGACCTACACTTAATCATTCAGTTAAGAAATATCAGCTTTTGTGTACATCCTTTTAATCAAAAGCATATTTAGTATCATCATTGTATTCCATTAAACTTTATAATTCACTCTAATTTGTCTGCCTTCTTGTTCTAATTTGTCTTGATTTTTCAATGATACTTACTTTCACTATTTTTTTTTTACCTAACTACAGTTACATTTGTGTTTATTTGTTTACTGAATTCACTTAGTGTCTTGAAATAAAACATTTTTGAACAATAAAGCAAACTAATTGTTATGTTTTCGAAGTGCTAATAGTTATATGTATATATTCCGGAACGAATATAATACGCACGCTCAGCTGACAACTAACTTGGTACGCAAAAGTCACTGACTGCAACCTCGGGACGAATAGAGAGAAGACCGAAGCTGGCAGATGGGAGAGTGTATTACTCCGAGAATATAATAATAATGAATCAATCTAAAACGCGTGAATATGTATACACATGGAAAATGACCTTGTCCGCAATTGGAGAAATTCGCATAGTAAGAGTAAAAGTTAACCAGTCAGCGAATTACATTACAATGGGGGCAGAAATAGACTATTAGTCATACCGTATTATTAGAAAAATAAATGCGTAAAGTGGCGTACGTATTGATTTGTGTGTTGTCAAGTAGTCAGTACAATTATATTTTCATTGGATAATATTTTTGCCTAGGTGTTATGAATTAGTTTCAAATACACCATAACTTTAGACAACTGTTATCTGTTTTTTTGATCAAACGTTAGTAACTCGAGTTGAGAAAACACGATCAGAATAATGTCAAGCAGTGACTGCAGTTTATGTACTTAAGTGAGATACAAAAGACGTTTTTTTGTACTTGACATCATGTTCATGATTCTAATTTGGTATTTACAACGCAGTTAATATGAGAAAGATTACATCGAGAAATATTTCGACTAGCGGTTAATTGTTGCCAATCCTTAATGTTATGGATTTCAGTAAGGTTATGACGATCGTCGTAAGAAGCCTGAAATCACTGAATTCCTTCACAACCAATCGTTTTGCTTCGAAGTTTTGAGAAAAGGCACCTGAACATACTAGTAAATAGTAGATTATTTGAAGAGATAAAATCAATAAGGTATGCCTTTCTAAAAACGCCTAGAAAAAGAAGAAAAAATACAAGAAAAAAGATGATAACAGGAGCACACAATTTCTTGAAATATCTTTCATTTAGTAAGAAGCCCATTTCTTTTATCATATGGAAATTTCTGAGGTCTTCTAATAGGTTATTTTAATGTGACTTGTGTTGAAACCCACTAGAAGGCTCTTTTTAATAAACTTGTCCATGCTGTTAATCAGCAGGTTTGATTTTATTCTGAAGTTTCAAACACAAGCGTCATAGTGTAACTTTGGCGTACATTTACTCACTGAACTGCCTAATCATTTGATAGATATTAATTGGGAGATTTAGAAAAAGTTGCATATAATAGGTGTTTGTATATTTCAAGATGATGTCACTGATGTTAATACGACTCAGTCATCATCACAGTCTGAGGTAATGCTGTTTAAACTTCACAGTACAGTTATCAATCATAAGGAGTCATTTAGACTTGATAAGTTACGTATAAGAAATTACACATTCACTTCCGTTTCAACTGACTGGAGGCACAGTGGTACCATGTTATTCATATGGGAAATTTCACTTCTGAAGTACTTGGCATTTTCATAATGCTGTAACATGAATCTAATAAAATTGGACATATGGTTATCATGTTGAAACGTTCATAACTCTGACTATTTCAACTCCCTATGTTTCGTCTAAAGTGTCAGTCGGAATTGAATCATTCTTCTTTTTCAAAAGTTCAGAAAAGCCAGTCTCATTTGATGAAAACGCCTAATGATGAATCAGACAAGTTTAATACATTTATTATTGACACTGGAATTATATAATTCATTATATCTAAGAAGGGCTTGTTATAACTCTGTGATAATGCACAGTTGAAACCTACCACTTGGCATAAGTGGCCAAAAGTTATCTATCATTAGAACAACTGATGTCTCCTTGAAGAAAGTGGCTTTGTAAAGCTTTCTTAACTTTTTAGTGAATAAGGTTCATCTGTGCTAGGTTTGAAGGCCTTTAGAGATCATTAAACGTCGAGATATCCCCATGTACTAACTCACTTGACGAATTCTTGCTGCCGAAAAAAACTTAAGGTGTTCACAGTCTGTAAGTGATATGACTATTCAACCCAGACGTCTGGAAATAAAGGGAGATCCTGTTCTCCTGAAACATCGACTGACTCCATGTAGCTTAAGAGAAGCAGTTAAGAAAGAATTTCAAATACTGATTGAAAAGAAGATACCTATAGCAGTTGAGTCTTCGAATTGGACTGCTCATATTGTGATACCACTGAAAGTAGATAGAAAAACCAAGAATCTGTTGATATTATCGTCTAGCACTTATTCATCAACTACTACGGCAAAGTCACAGTACAGAGGAAAATGAGAATGTACAAATTACGTGACTTAAAGTACATCTACATACTCCTTCCGGTTATACTTCCAAGGAAGTGATCACCATTTAAAGTCTATTTGGAATGTTTAGGAAGAAATTCTTACCCTTTGGATTAATAGTATCACCTGAACAGAGTCGTTATATCTCCGACATTAAGATCCATTGTATTAGGTGGTCTTCATTCTTCACACCTTGGAGCTCAGAAAATGAAATCATTGATCCGCCTAATGTAGTGGTGACCAGGAAGTGATGCTGATTTTATAAGAGAGTAAATGAATTATCCCGAAACAATGCATAAGATATTGGATGTAAAATCATTATGGAATCCTTGGCCTGCATCTTGTGAGATATGGCAACACATTCATGCAGAATAATGTAGTCTCTTCTTGCACTCATACCATGGTTTCATTATGGTGGACTTTTCATACAAGTGGCCAGAATTTATACTCACAGACACTCTTAATGTCAAATTCACACAGAGGTATATGGAAGATTTTCAGCCATGAGGAAATAGTTAATGCTTTAGTCACCGACAACGAAACTTATTCCACTGAAAAGAACTTGAATTATTGGATATAAGATATGGATTGCTTTAACCTTTATACAGCTAAATATCATCCTCAGTCATATGGTTTGGCATAAAACCTCATACGAACACTGAACATTGTCACAGCATCAGTGGATCCAAGCAATTTAGAAGGGGTGGAGAAGTTCATGGATAATTTCCTACTTCGATATCCGAATCCAGAATATATAGCTAGTCATGAAGGTTCAGTTATACTCTTCAAATCTAGAATTCTATGAACAGATTCAATGACGATTGCCTTGTCAGATCTACCGTCAATAAGGATCATGCTACAGCTGTTCTGTCATTGTGACCTCCTCTGTAGTGGTTTCTTGAGGATCTCTAGACAATACTTCACTGGAAGTAAACATCAACTTTCTTCACCACTAATGGGAGTTACTCAATGGGCTGACCAACTGGAATAACCTCTTTGCTATCTGTATGTAACCTGAAGTATTATATCAAATGGATGGCAGTTAACTAAACGAAAGTTTGACCTCAGTCCTCATATTTTGTCGATTTTCACTTCAGCAGTAGTTGTGACTGGAACAAAAAACACCTTGAAACAAATGTAGCAGAGCGAAACCAGTAGAAATGTGCAGACTACAAGGAAAAAAGACGATCGACAAAAATTTTGAAATGGATTTGAAAAGATGACAAACTATACGAAAAAATACCTAACAGTTATTCACTATGCAAGATTTTAATATCTATCACTAAAGACGGTACCATATAAAAATACAAGATATAATGATCATGGTTATGTGAGTCAGGTATACTTTCAAATATTTTTATAACTTGTGAGTTTAAGGTAAACATGTTTTTCACGCTGCAGGAGGTAATGTTATATTTGCGTTGCTGGGTGAGGCATGGTGTCCAGATTTTGGAAGATTTACTACTGTGTGATTATTCGGAGGAGAAATGACGTCTCTAACGACAAGCTTAACTTCGAAGTAAAAACCGTTTTCAGTCAGTTGAAACTGGGACTTTAGTCTTTTCGAAGACGAGTCGTTTCAATGGAGTCAACACTTTTGATACGGTTTATTGAAGATATTGTTGACAATGCATCAGCTATGGAACTATTCGCTGAAAATATATGACGGATGTTTTTGCATTATCCTTACACAGTGAGATGTATGAGCTTACTGATAGAGGAATAGTGAATGAGCAATACAACCTTACACAATGACATGCTTAGTGACGTGGACGCTTGATTGTATGCCTTCATCAAAACTATTCCGTTAAAGTTATTGTAGCGTCATACACTTCCCCAAAATCAATAGCCTAGGGTTTGACCACTTTCGACATTGATGCTGACCTTGATAGTTTAACTGGACTCGCTAAGCTGAAGGCACCCGGTCAAGCATCCTCGCCATTTGGCACGCTGTCGTGTTACGTTGCATTGCTCGTATTCGACTCTCTAGCCAGTTATTTGGAACGCATCGGTATTTTGGCACAACCATCCAAATATACTATTCCATCCGACTACGCTATCGTGTTCTTCCTTGGTCTCGTATTCGTGGGTATATAACAAGTCCGAATAATTAGTGATTGGTCTTTGCGTCTGTCAAGTTCGCACCAGGACAAATCCTAAATTGGTGAACCCGACGTGATCACATATCCCGACCAATAACAAGTATTGAATTGGTGAGCCTGTTCCATTTTATATTTGTTTATTGTTTTCATTTCGATAACATTTATATATCCATTTACTACACTTTCTCATGTCCGACCACACTCCCAAGCTTATTCGTATTAAGCCGACTTCGAACACGATCCAACTCGTGCCATATTGGCCAGACAATGCAGAAACATGGTTTCTGTATGCCGAGGCCGATTTTCGAGAACAGGGTGTCTCAGATCCTCAATCTCGATTTCTTGCTGTCATACGGTCACTACCGCGAGAATTAAACAGGTATGTTACAGCACACATGTTTAATCCTGAGGTAAGTAACCCTTATGCACTTCTAAAGGCCGCACTCTTGAAGAAAAGCGATCTCACAGATCGCCAGCACCTAGACGAATTGCTTCGTAACATCGAGCTAGGCAGCCACTCAGCTACTGAAGTCCTCGCACGCATGCGAGAAGTAATCGGTGCACGAACATTTGACGATGGTTTCTTCCGAGAACTGTTTCTCTCGAAACTACCACAACCGGTGCAAACCGTGTTGGTGACACTCCAGTCAGTCCCACTCGACGACCTGGCAGCCTCGGCAGATA